GGGGGCATTAAACCTTTTTAAGTGTTCAGGTGGGGAATGGGTCAAAAAAGGTTGGCAAACTCTGCTCTAGTCATTCAATTTCTTCAATGTCACCTTTATGCTACCATATTTACATTAAACATGCTCCCTTATTAAATTGTTTTTCATGTGTGTCTTGCATATCGTTATCATGTCTTAGTGATTGTGTGTGTGTGTGTGTGTGTGTGTGTGTGCGCGCAGCAAGTGTGATGGGTCATCAACCCTCGCAGTTGACCAGAGCTTTGTTTCGTACCAAACGACTTACTCCTTTCAGGTGTGAGTGCCGCTGGGAGCGCTGTACGCCAGCACGCCCCCGGGGGTGTCGTACACAGCACTGTGAGGGCCACCTTCCCCCTCTCTAACTAAATGTACATTGTTTATCAGTGTTGCCTGTGTTGGTGGTGAACAATATCCTGGAGAGCCTCAGTGCTTCACTGTGGATTAATACTCGAAAGTACTTTGTATTTTTAGGGCATTTCAGTATTTGTATTTGGTATTTTTCAGTAGATGATCATCTTACTTCCTCCCTCATCTATTACCTTTTTATTAATCTTGAATGAAGTAGAGTAGCCATTTCTCTGATCATCCTTGAAGCTTACTGGGGTTGTCTTAAATGTTTTAATAATCTTCGTATGTCATGACTGTTTCATCTTTAGACATTTTTATACATGCTTCAGCTTGGTCATTTAGGTTATTTACTTGTACCGGGAGTAGTATAGTACAGAGTAGTAATCCTTGTGCTTCATCCCCTCCCTCACCACCCTCGGGCCTATCCAATTGTAATAATGTCTAACGTCAGAGGGGTTGCCTATAGCATACCTGTAAAGGGTTACGGGAGTTCTAGTACCCCCAAGCTCCCTCTGTCAGGTCTTCCAACACAACGCACAACTTTCTGTTGAAGTCATTTTGTGATACTTGAAACATCTGCCTCCCATTGCATATGGTGTTTTAATGCGTGTTCTTACAGTGTCGGGGTATCTTTAATGTGCCGACATGGTGCGTTCCCTGGAGGATTAATACTACTGGTTATTTATAGTGATGAGCACGGCCTAGTGTGCTCTCTCCTTTAGGGGCTTCCTGCCTCACATTTACCACAACCTATGCACCCTCCTGCAAGCTAATTTTTTGTTAGTGTCTTATTTCGAAAGTCTCTCGCCTACTTGGACTGGACGGTAGAGCAACGGTCTCGCTTCATGCAGGTCGGCGTTCAATCCTCCGAGACCGTCAAAGTGGTTGAGCACCATTCCTTCTCATCGTCCCATCCCAAATCCTTATCCTGACCCCTTCCCAGCGCCATATAGTCGTAATGGCTTGGTGCTTTTATTCCTATCTGTATCGCCAAAGCCCAGTCTAAGGCCTAGTTTCCTTGATAGCTTGTTTAAGGAGACGGTTGTTGGTCGCGTCCCACAGGCCTCCACCGCAATCACAACTCGGCTGATCAGGCACTCTTGCAACCCATTCTCGCACTTTCGTATAGTCAATATTGACTTATGTTTAGTATGTCACATATGCACGTATTTAATAAGTCAATATTGACTGTAAGAAAGTGCGAGAACGGGTTGACTCTTGTGTAGGAACTTAACTGGTTCCGACTTAAAAACCACGACCTTCTTTGTTGCAATATTTCTTAACTTGCCAGTACAAGTTTGGGGACTCTTTGGCCCTCTGATTCTGACACTGTATATATTTTAGTGTCTGGCATTCTTGACCCTTACGCTGCATGATCACCACTGCCCTTCTCTTATGGGTCAAGTTTTGTTTCATTAGACTTTCCTTTTGAGTATTTTCAATACATGGATTTTAATGCCTTTTCCCCTCCCCCCATACTGCCAGAGTAAATTTTGAAAATTTTAAAATTAATGTCATTAATATTACTGTCATTATGTGAGAACCTTCAAATCCAGGGATCCCACAACAATACTTATATTAATCAGATCACTTGTGCTGTCCCGCCTTGAGTACTGCTCGATACTCGCTTCCCCTTCAGAGCAGGAGACATTACTGAAATAGAGGGAATACAGAGAACATATTTGGCATGCATACACACAATAAAGCTCCTAAACTACTGGAACTGCCTGAAAACTCTCAGAATGTACTCTGGAAAGGAGACGAGAGGTATTAATGAATACATGAAAGATACTGGAGGGCCAGATCCCAAATCTACACTAAAATTACATACTGGAGTGAATGATATGGAAGGAAATGCACAATAGAGCCAGTGAAAAAACAGAGGTGCCATAGGCATAATCAGAGAACACTGCATGAACATCAGAGGTCCACGGTTGTTAAACATCCTTTCAGCAAGCATAATAAATGTCGGAATAGAAGTGGACATCTTCATGAAACAAAAAACTGAACAGTATTATGCAACAAGTGCCTAACTGAATAGGCTGCAGTGGATATGTGGGCTCCTCCAAGCAATAGCCTGGTGGACCAAACTCTTAAAAGTTAAGCCTGGCCCCAGGCCCGGCTTGGGGAACAGAAGTACTCCCAGAGCCGTCTCTAGGTAAGATCCAGGTAAAATATCACAGCAGTAGAGAACTGTGTACCTATCCTGCTTGATGTTCAGGTTAAACATTCGTTTTAAGCAATGTTTACAAACTAAAATTAGCCTGAAAGTCTTGTTCATTATACCCCAACTTTGTTTAGTGTTTCTTAATTAAAAACTACTTGGGAGTGTTCACATTTTGGAAAGTTTACGGCCAGAGTAAGGCTCCTGTTGCCGAGGAGGATTACCCAAGGAATTCGGAAGTGTGCCTGTGTGCGCGCGCGCTCGAGCTCGCACTAACATAAGTACCAGACCAGTGCGAGTATATTTTGTGTGTGTGTACGTATGTACTTGTACATGTACACGCGAACACGAGTCTTGGCCCATGCAGCCGCGGGGGCCTCGCGGCTGAGTGAACAGCACTCGGGAGTCGTGGTCTTAAGGGCCCGGGTTTGATTCCTGGCCAAAGCGGAAACAAATGGGCAAAGTTACTTTTACCCAGATGTGCCCTTTTGCCTAGCAGTAAATAGGTACCTGGGAGTTACAGCTGTTACGGGCCGTTTCCGTGTGTGTGTACTCGCCTAGTTGTATTCGCCTAATTGTGCTTGAGGGGGTTGAGCTCTGGCTCTTTGGTCCTGCCTCTCAACTTCAGAGGTGGGACTCAACTTTGTGTGAGAGTGAAATATATGTAGTAGATACAAGAGTAAAAATAGATTTGTTAGAAAGGCAGGGTCCAAGAGCTAATAGCTCAATTCTGCAGACAAATGATAATATACACCCCCCCTCCGCACCCACCAGACACTTTACGGGCTACTCATGCCCGTGCCACCTCTTGGGGTATCTTAATTATAACAGCAAAAGGATTATGCTGGGAGGAGCCATATGGGTGACGGAGGTGACGTCGTCTGCACGATTTCTCTAGCTGTTTAGAGGGTGGCCACTATGCTCTTTGGGCGCTCTACAAGCTTAGGTGTACAGTTACGGTGCATAAAACATGTAGATATTTATATATAACGTCTGTATATAGTGTAATAACACCACAACTGGTATTGTTGGGGGAGAAAGTTTAGTGCGTGTGACCTTGAAAGAGTGAGGGAGCCGCCAGCCGCCATCTGTGTATAGCGACGACTCTTAGTGCCTGAACTAACTATATCAGCTTAGCTGTACAGTTGTGGTGAACAAAATATACTCATACTTATATATAACGTCTGTATATAGTGTAATAACACCACAACTGGTATTGTTGGGGGAGAAAGTTTAGTGCGTGTGTTGAGGGAGTGGCAGTGAGTGGCTGGCTGGTGTGTGGCGGTAACTCCTCGTTGCTTTTCGACTCTCAATACCAACTTAGTCACTAATACGCACATCATACTTTTGAGTATAGCGATTATTAACCACTTTTATTATATAAATATATTACAATACACACTATTGAATAATATTACTGCAAAAAAACTAAGAAAAAATCAATCGGAGACATTGAAACAATTAGGTAATAATATCTTTGTGGCAACTCCCATCTGTCAACGCGGGTGACGCTGACCGGGTCTGACGACCGCTCTGTCAACGCCCACTTTTTGCCAGACTTCCTCGGTCAATTGCGCCCAAAATATGTCACCTACGATTTTTTTTTATTTTTTCCGTGCTCAGGGGACACAAATTAACATGTTTAGAAGACGAAAAAATTTTTTTGAATTTTTTTTTTCTTGCGCACAGGGGTGTAAATGTCCATATGACCCCTGAGCAGTGTAAGGGTTAATGAGTGTACCAGACCAGTCCGGGTACCGTACCGATTTTGTTGAGGGTATTATCATTCCGCTTCACTTGCTTAGTTATATTACCAAGATGCCATAAATATTGGTATAATAGTGCTGTTAGCAGTGATGATCTTTTCTCTGAGCAAGTGTGAAAGTTAGTGCTCCAGTAAAGAGATGCAGGGGTGAAATTTTGTAGTGTTGACACTACTACTTTTAGAGATGTGGTGCAACCTCTAGGTCCCAGGGATCACCTTCGTCAGATTAAAGTATAGTCAGGCCGGTCGGCCGAGCCGAGTGGACAGCACGCTGGGCTTGTGATCCTGTGGTCCTGGGTTCGATTCCAGGCGCCGGCGAGAAACAATGGGCAGTTTCTTTCACCCTATGCCCCCTGTTACCTAGCAGTAAAATAGGTACCTGGGTGTTAGTCAGCTGTCACGGGCTGCTTCCTGGGGGTGGAGGCCTGGTCGAGGACCGGGCCGCGGGGACACTAGAGCCCCGAAATCATCTCGAGATAACCTCAAGGCCACGGGAGCTCTGATTGTTTGTAGTGATCTTGTTGGTGGGACTTGTAGCTGCAGGTCCTCTGTACTGTTGTTGGTCCCGCCAGGCCCTCGCCTTGCTGCTCTACCAATGCCATGTTACACGTTGATAGTATAGAGGAGTATAGGAGAGGAGAATTAAGATGAGGAATTTGCAGGTTATTGTAGTATGTACCCATGGTAATGAAGGATGTCTTACAGGTACCAGAAGACTGCTGGGGCTATGAGCGCCGTTGGGGAGAAGACCTCCTCGCTCTTCGGTGGTATCGGCGCCAAGTTCGGCCAGCTCAAGGAAACGCCAACATTCAAATCTTTCGAGGAGCGTGTAGGAGGCGTATATTCTGCAGCACGGGTAAATATTCGGGCATGCTTCCCGTCTTCTTCCAGGCTCTCCCAACCTTGTAGCTCTTTGATTCTTCGGAATACTTTTTTTTCCTCCAGCTTTTCACACACTCCCATAGACTTCCCTTTTCATGCTAGTTGTGACAATACGTACATATACACCCTCGTTGTGGGTGTTGTGGACTGCCTTGCACATAACTAAGAGCTACTGCAACAACATGTACAAATCAGAAGTTCAAAATACCGCCACACCACTGAGCGAACTGAAACAATAATGGACGTCCCATATAGCGAGACAAATAGTGACCTCGTTTATTTTTGCTAACATAAAAGTGGAAATGTAGGTTAGCTTAGCATTTTAAAAGTACCGAATGACCTTCTGTGGTTGATTGTTCAATAAATCCCTGAACTATATGTTTAACTGATCTCTAACCCTGTCCATGGAGGACAGAAGAAAATGTATACGTATATGCTGGTTAGCATTGTAAATGTGTGTGGCCATGTCTGTGGTAGAAAATAATAATAAAAAGAAAGTGGAAAAAAATTACCTTTTGTAAGTGGCTTCCACACAGAGGGGAGTATAATATTTAGAGCTTTCACAAACCTCATATGGGAGATTACATGGACTATGAATTTTTTCATTTCCTTATTATGCACCCCATACCCATCCCATGGGCGGTGATGGAAAGGGTTAGAGGCACAAGAAGATAGGTTCAAGAACTGAACCCCGTTGTTCATTTAGCTAAGCGAGTGACAATTCTGTGAAGCTAGCTACACAATTGTTAATACTGCATACACATGTATGTATATATATATGTACATGTACACAGATACATATACGCACAATACAGTATATTAAATCAGCTTTTTGCTATTTTATTTAAAAAAATTACCAGAAATTGGGTTGAGAATGTGTGACGAGTGTGACACAGTACAATGGTAACTTTCTGTTGCACAGAAGTGCACTTCTGACTTTGTCGTCAGTCTTGCACTGAACTTCGTACTGTTGATGATAATCTTTTAAATGACAAGTTATGAAATATAGATAACAAACTTATTTTATATTGATGTGATAAAAATAAATAGATCAAATATGAGGATTAGGTTTGCACACAAAAGAGAAACTTGTATGCACCGTGCTCCTAAGCTGTAAGTGAAGGGGGTAGAGGTACCTAGAATCAAAGTAGGAACATAAGACGTCATAATTCTAATGTAGAAAATACTAGAGACAAAGGTTGAGGAATTCACAATGGTTAAAACAGAGAAGTGTCCAAGAATGGGGGAAATAACTCTGAGACCAGCAAGAGATGGGGTGTTGTGCCTGGACTGAGACTATTAACAAGATCAAAGAGATGTAAAAATGACATTTTACAAAAGAAAATTAATAATTAAAATGCATAAGTAACATGAATAAATTACATTTTCTGATGTGATAGAGATTTAAGAAATAGAAGTTAAAATGATCATACCCAACTGAAGAAATGCAAATGGAATAAAAAGCCACATGAAAGAATCAAAATACTTGTTTACATCCAAATTCAAAACAAAACCACCAGTATTGGACCCTGAACCACAAAAAGATTCATTCAGAGGACAAAAAAATTTGGTTTCCTAAAAGAACAGTAAACTATTGTTTTTGTCCTTTAGTACCCCAATAAACAGCCTCTTCGTGAACTTGTATCCACAGCTCGGACAGTTTAACTTTATCTTCTGTGCTCACATTCATGAAGATTCACATTCGCTCCCACACTTGCTTCCCCCATTTTCCACTCTCCCTGCTTGCTGCTGTTGCTGCTGCTCTTTTTGTCCCTCTTGTCCCACCTTCCCCCTTGTTTGCTCTTATAAAATCTAGTCAAACCATGGGGTAAGGAAACTATAGGAGAAAATGCCAATCCATTATGACTTGATAGTACTGTACACGGAAGGTATCAGGTATGTGGATTTGGGGTGGGACGGGGGAGTGGAATGGTGCCCAGCCACTTGGACGGTCAGAGATTGGACGCCGACCTGTATGAAATGACTGTTCTACCGTCCAGCCCAAGTGGTTGTAGTCGACCCACAGTGAATAAAGTAAATACTGCATCATGAATGCACTGGTAACACACTTTATAATTCGGGACTGATCACTATACTTGCATAGTCCTTAAAGTCAGTTATAACAGAGTCAAAAATAGGAAAAAAAAAAAGCCCAAACATCATTTAGACAGCCTAGATGTTTGGGAGCCGGTTGGCCGAGCGGACATCACACTGGACTTGTGATCCTGTGGTCCTGGGTTAGATCCCAGGCGCCGGCGAGAATCAATGGGCAGAGTTTTTCATCCTATGCCCCCTGTTACCTAGCAGTAAAATAGGTACCTGGGTGTTAGTCAGCTGTCACGGGCTGCTTCCTGGGGGTGGAGGCCTGGTCGAAGACCGGGCCGCGGGGACACTAAAAAAAGCCCCGAAATCATCTCGATAACCACCATTTTATCTTACCAAATTTACATTAAAATGGATAAAATCTGATAAAACCTAGTTACACATTTTTTGCTATATCGTAATATTATAAAAAAAATCGAACACCTCATGCTGGATGTTATTGAATGATTCCAAGAAAGTGGTATATTGAGCTGGTATTTCAGGAACTCCTTGGTATGTACAGCTTCTTGAATGTCCTGACTTCTGGGACGAGCGTGTGTCTTGCTTTCCGACCGTCCCTCGCGGTCGCTTGTCCCTCAATAGAATTCTTGGTGACTCGAATACTTTTGATATCGTTCGCCTTATGCGTTTTTGTTCTCGTATTGGCATCCTTGGTGATATTTAGCGCCCTCTGATTATTCCGCACATTTGATGGTGCTACACAGCCTTCCGGGTTTGGTGCCTTCTTTTGATAATTACTTACTTAGTGTGTACAATATATATCAGATACATTAATCCATCATTAAGCAGGAGTTAATGTATAGTAGTATACATTGGCAGTAGAATACATAATAGTATACATTATAGGGGTAAGTAGTGCCTTTTTTTGCCTGAAACGGTATTATTGAGACAAAGTTTACCCTGCACGCATGGTTGTAATGTAAATGTAAAATACAGTGCTTGAACATTTTACTTCAAAAATTGTTTTTTTTGTGTGCACACTGTTTTTAACTTAAAACTGAACTACTGTTTAACTACTACATATGTTGCTGTCCAGAATGCCATTCTTAAATTGACCTGTCAAAATAAGAGTTGCTGCTCACTCTCATAATTAATCTCGAGTGAATTTTAGACAAATCATTAAATACAGTTTAATCAAACTATATGATTTAGTTGCATTATTCACTGTTAGAAATGGTATTAGATTTTTTATACAGTTAAATTACTCTATTTTGTTATACAGTATATTTTATGAGTCGCATTTAATAGTCGGTAATAAATCTTCAAGACTCGTATGGGAGGCTCTGGCTCCAACTCGACTCAAGACTTTGAGGAGGCTTTGAAGGAAGCTGAAGGTGAAAAGGCAGCCCTGGAAGCAGCCAACGGTGGCACCGTACAATCCACTACACCCGGAACTGAAGTTAGCCAGCCGGCTGCATCTTAAAGGACCTACCCTTACTGCCACCTCCACTACCACCTGCACTCTGCCACCCACTGCACTCCATCACCACAATAACTCGAGTTTATAACATTTTCTAGCTACAGTGGCTCCCTTAGTCCTTTGATAGCCCTCATCATTCTCTAATACAGTAAATATTTTATTTTTCAGAATAGTTTTATGAAATTTAATGCTAGTGGATTTTGCGAGTTTAATGAAATATTTTTACTAGATACGAATGTCTGATTTTGGGTGTCCACGTGGCAGCACTTTATAGTGTGCTCTAACTTCCACTCTTGGGGCGCCATGTCTGACTGTGGACGAGACTTTAGGTCGCCCATCGAACAAAGCTTTGAGAGGTTAGGGCATAATTATTTTCAAAGAAACAAGCTTTCTGATAATAGATTATAATTTTATTCCTAAGCATTGTATACTGGATATTCATAGTCAATATTGGCTGTTGGGTGTTTCAGAGATGACATTTAATTCAGACCGACTGACTGACTGATTGCAGAGTTGTGGTTTGAGCTCTGTAAAGTTATTTATAGCAAAAGTTTAATTGCCTCTTTTTAGCATCATGTTTAAATCTTGTGTATAATACTATAGTATATATATTGGCATCACATTCTTTAATATAATGCATATTGGTATTCTAAAAAGTATTTTGTAAAATGAGCCAATTCCTTTCTTGGATATAGAATAATTTGTTATTAAGGCATGTTTGTGTTGAATATCTGCAGTCATAAGGATATTTCTACATTATGGTGCATTCTCTACGTGAATAAAGGTGTAGGTGGTTTAGGTATTATTCATAGGCTGCCTTGTTATAATGCTGTAGCACTGAGTGAAAATTGTTAAATCAAGGTCAGAGTATTTAAGTTATTTGATATCGAGATAAGCTTCATATAATTTAAGCAGATAAGTTGGCATTAGAATGTTGTGTGTTATTCATATCATAGGAATATTGATAAAGTATAAATGTTAAAGGAGATGTGAGGATTATGGATATGCCCCTGTAATCTCCAGTGATGATAATTATTGGATAGTGTGAACATTATATCGTAGGTTCTCGACTACTTTTCCAGGAACGTAATGATTTGAATTTTATAGTGGGATACTGTATAGATGAATTATATTCTTTATACTTTAATATGTTTTAACCTTTAAAAATTCCCACATTAATTTTTCAGTGTGTTGATCTGTATATGTAATTATGTGAATGATCTGCTGCACTAGGTTTAAGCGTGATGCATTAATTTTGAGATGGGGTGATCTTTCCTCTTGTGGCTTGGTCAAACAATATCAATAGTCTACTTTTTTGTCTATGAAATAAAAATACAAACTTTGAGGTGCAATACAACAGTGTATGGCTATGAAGGAGTGCTGTGTAATCCTTCCACTGTATATAGAGGATGTAAAGAGCTACTTACGTCCATACACTGACGGCATTTCCAAGTGTTTACGTCACTTCCTTTTGTAGGCATAAAAGTCGACTTTTCTTGGTGTTGTACCATACATGAGGTGTTCCCAGGGAGTCTTTTTGAAAACTTTGTAGTTGAATACCATAAATGAGTAATCCTCAACAGTATAACTCTGTGACATTCCCATGATAGATTGTAGTGAAGACTCCAGGTCTGCATGAGATTACCTTGTAGAATGATGAATTATAATTAGAATGATGAATTCTAATGTTTGCCTTCATTGTTGGGTAATTGCATATGTAAACCCAAGTAAATGATTATTTTTATCATAAACAAAATAATTGTCCAGTTAAGGTACAGAAAGTTTTCCTTTTAGACTAATACGTACTGTACTGGGTTATTTTAGTTGTTTGGCTATGTTTTCTATTAGGGTGCGGACACTTACCAACTGTTTGTGTAAGTTGGCAGTGACGTGCAGGTCAGTTTTAAGTGGTCATGTGGGCCTGGAGTTGCCATGTCATGTATTGCTTGTGGATGTAGGGGAACAAGAGATGGTTGTTGTTTTTGCTGTTGTATTCCCAGTTATTTGAAATGTAGTTATACACTAAAATATTGGTTTTATTTTCATGGTGTCCTCTACAAGTTGTCAAAGGAAAAATTGGTACTGTAATATACATTTCTTTTGAAGTTGTCAAAATTTATCTTTGACAAAATTGATCTTAAGTGAAAATATGCACAACTTTTTAGATGAAAATCTAATTTTATGAAATCTAATTATATTCCACAGTTTGCCCATTTTTATGCAGATCCAGAACATCGGTGAATAAACTGTAACTGTAATGAAAACAGTGGTAAAGCTCGTCAGGTTATGAAGCTGCTGGTAATAAGATGAAACTGTGATGATGTAAGGGCGAAGAGGGAGAACGGCCTGTTGACATAGCTTGGGTGTAGGGGGGAGTTGTGTAAAAGCCTGGTTTGTGCCTCGGAGAGGCTACGGGATCCAGTAAGTTCAGTAGAACTTCGGTTTCAACCCTTTTAACCCTGTCGTAGCTCAATCGATTAAGGCAGTGTCTGGGATGCTCCCGGACGCAGGTTCGAATCCTCATCACGGCCCTTGTGGATTTGTTCATGAAACTGGTAAAGCTGCAATGTTGTCAGTAGTAATGGACGTATACTACATGCTGAAAATAAAGTGAAGTAAACCAAAACCTTTGATACACCAAAACATAAAAGTTGGCAAACAAAAGCATTATATATGTGTACAGTAGAAGGTTTCAGGGTAAACTTGAAAGTATTGTACCGTGACTTTACTTGGATGGGGGTCCTGGAGTTCCTCCACTCCCCAACCCTGGCCCAGGAAAAGGCTCGACTTGAGAGCTTGGTCCAACAGGTTGTTGCTTGGAGTGGCCCCACAGGCTCGCATATCCACCACAAACCAGTTGATGCGGCACTTCTTGAAGAAAGCCATCTAGTTTTCTCTTGAAGCTTTCCACAGTTGTTCCAGCAATATTTCTCATACTTGTTGGGAGGACGTTGTACAACTGCAGACCTTTGATGTTTATACTGTGTTCTCTGATTGTGCCTATGGCGCATCTGCTCTTCACAGGTTCTATTCTGCATTTTCTTCCATAACATTCACTCCAGTATGTTCCACGTGTATATTATTTGGTATATCTCTCGTCTCCTTTCTAGTGAGTACATTTGGAGAGCTTTGAGATGATCCCAATAATTTAGGTGTTTTATCACATCTATGTATGCCATATATGTTCTCTGCATTCCCTCTATTTCAGCAATCTCCCCTGCTCTGAAGGGGAAAGAGTACCGAGCAGTACTCAAGATGGGACAGTACAAATGATTTAAATAGTACAACCATTGTGATGGAATCCGTGCATTTGAAAGTTCTCGTAATCCATCCTATCATTTTTCTGGCTGATGCAATATTTGCCTGGTTATGCTCCTTAAACGTTAGGTAGTTGGACATCATTATTCCTAAATCCTTTACATGCTGCTTTCCTACTATGGGCAGATTTGTTTTGTACCCTGTATTATGTTTAACATCCTCATTTTTACCACACTGGAGTACAGTACCTGGAATTTATCACTGTTAAACATCATGTTATTTTCTGCTGCTCAATAAAAACTTCATTTATGTGTGCTTGTAGTTTTTCAATGTCTTCAGCAGAGGTAATTTAGATGCTGATTTTTTTGTCTGTAACGGATGATACGAAGCTGTGACTTGAATTTTTTTGTCTATCTGATATGAGAATAAGGAAAAGCACTGGTGCAAGGGCTGTACCCTGATCTGGTATGGTTGGCACCATACCAGATCTTTTAACTGCACTTGGGCTCGATTTTACATGGGTTGACCGTTACTGTGTTTTGTTAGACAGAAAATAGAGTATCCACTGTCCTATTTTACCAGTTATTCCCATTGACCTCAATTTGTGTGTTATCACTCCATGGTCACATTTATCAAATGCCTTTGCAAAGTCCGTGTATACCACATCTCCATTGTTTTTCTTCTAATGTCTCGGTGACTTTGTCATAGTGATCAAGTAGCTGTGAGAGGCATGATCTCGCTCTAAATCCATGTTGTCCTGGGTTGTGGAGGTCATTGGTGTCCGTGAAGCTTGTGATCTGACTCCTGATCTCACACTCAAATACTTTTATTATGTTGGACGTTAGTGCAACTGGTCTATATAATTCTTTGCCAAAGCAAAGAGTGCATGTATCAACGTGGATACAATGTCAATAAAGATACGTGCATGAGGATACACTGCATATAACCACCATAGCCTGGTTTGTCTGGCACTTCTTGAAAACCTATCACGTTTTCTCTTGAAAACGTTCACCCTTTGATCCGACAATATTTCCTATACTTGCTGAGAGGGTGTTGAACAACTGTGGACCTTTGTGTTCATGTAGTGTTCCCAAATTATGCCTGTCATCTGTTCTTCACTGGCTCTATTCTGCCAGTCCATATTCCTCACTTCAGTATGTTTTATTTTACTGTGTAAATTTGGGACCTGGCCCTCCAATATTTTCCATGTATATATTATTTGATATCCCCCCCCCCCATCTCCTTTTTGGAGGAGCTTTCAAGACAGATGATCCCAATAATTTAGGTGCTTTATCATATCTGTATGGTGTATGTTCTCTGTATTCCCTCAACTTGAGCAATCACTCCTGCTCTGGAGGAGGAAGTCTATCAGTACTTGAGACAGGAATGAATTTGAATAGTACGACCATTGTGATGGTATACCTGGATCCCATCACAATGGTTCTCAAAATCTATACAGTACTATCATATTTCTGGCTGATGCTATATTTGCTTGGTTATGCTTCTTAAACATTAGGTTGTCAGACATCATTATTCCCAGATCCTTTACATTTTGCTTTTCTACTATGGGCAGATTTGATTGCATTTTGTACCCTGCATATTGTTTTAAGATAATAATTTTTACTATACCACCGTACCGGGAATTTATCACTGTTAAGTAATTGTCAAAAAAAACTTTAATAATATCTGCATGTAGTTTTTCAATGTCTTCAACAGAAGTAATTTCCATGCTGATTTTTGTCTGCAAAAGATATGAAGATGTGACTTGTATTTTTTTCTCCGATATATGAGAATAAGGAAAAGCAGTGGTGGCTGCTTAGTTTGACTGTGCCCTGAGGTACACAGATTTTCACTGTACTTGGCCTGTTTTATTTGATTAACTGTTACTCGTTGCATTTTGTTTCACAGAAAAGTGAATATCCATTGTCTTACTTATCCCAGAAAATGAGGTCAATGGGAATATCACTCCATGGTCACAATTATCAAATACCTTTCACAAGTCTGTGTATACCACATCTACATTCTGTGTTTCTTCTAATTTCTCGGTGATTTTGTCAGAGGTTGAGTAGCTGCGAGAGAGAGGATCTTCCAGCTCTAAATCCATGTTGGCCTGGGTTGTGGTCATCGTTGGTATCTATAAAACTGGAGATCTGACCCCTGATCACTCTCGAAGCAGAATATGCAATGCTGGGGAAGTAGATATGTGGAACAGATGGTGTACCATTTACTTACAATGATAAGGACAGCAGAGGAATAAATATTCAACTGACAAAGGTAATATCATTCAGGATTAAGAAAGTAGGTTAGAATTAGGGGTTGCAGCAAAAGCTGGAGGTAAAAAGAGAGGATAAATGCAGAATTTACTCCTTTCACACTCCACTGCTAGTGATAGAAATTTTTTAATTTTTCCTTATCATGGAACCCACTTTAAGAAGATCAGAAAATTTTTATTTTTGTGCACCTGGAGATGACTAGCTATAAAGGTGCACAGTTTATGGGTACTTGGACCTTGAACATCCTTGGCTCTGTCGCACAATTGAAGGGTTAATCTGTTTAATGAGGGTGTTTCAAAGGGCACAATTTATTTATAGCTGGAGTGAGTAACTATTTTGCGGGATGGCGCATCACAGCTATATATGGTTCGGAGTACTGCACAAGATTTAAGTCCCGCGGCTACACGGAGTTCACATTGGCTTCCTCAGGACTCGTGTAAACAGACACCAGTTAAAAAAAAAAAAAAATCATGGGCAACATTCCTGGGTGTGAGAGCCTCGGTACTGAGTGAATAACCAAGGCTGGCACACGCAGCATGAGCTAACAGCACTGCTGTTCAGCTTGTAACCACAGCATCACCAAAAAAATGTCAAAATATATATATATATGCATCTGATAATATTTAGCCATGATAGTATTACAGAAGAGCCTGACTGATAAAGGCTGTGTACAATGTTGGCTGACTGATAAAGGTTGTGAACATTGTACACAGTCAATGTACATTGGCTGTGTACAATGTTCAGATACCAGTAAACACAATGCTGTTAAAGATGTTCACAGCATTAGCTACAGCACACTGCCATTGTTTCGTCCATCTAAGAAGGCTCAAACGCCTTCTCATGTTCCTTTACAAAATAAATTCGAGGAAAATTATTCATTTACAGGATTTAATGACCAGGATTCTGATAATAACAGGATTGTGGTGAGAAATAGTGATGTGCGTAGTATGATGGGAGGAGTACAGTAATTATGGTGAGGGAGAGGTGGTGTCATCTGCTGACTCTGTGGCAACCTGTTATAGTCTAGACTCACCATACCAGCTCAGCGGTTCGCTATGGTGAACACGAATGTAGATGCTTATTAAATGTGTGTGTGTGTGTAGTATAATAACAGCAAAAGGAGTATGCTTGCAGGCTGCGAGCAGCCGCGTCAAACAGCCTGGTTGACCAGTCCAGCAAAGAGGCAGCCTGGTCGATGACCAGGCAGGGGGACGCTTGGCCCCAGAAACACCTCAAGGTAACCTCAAGGTAACTAAGGTATGTTGGGAGGAGCCATTTTGGCGAGGGAGGCAGGTAGCATCGTCTGCTGGCTGCTGTGTGACTTGTCATGTAGTGTATGGTGGCCACTATGCTGTTTGGACACCATTGGCGAGTTGTACAGATGTGGTGAATAAAACATGTAGATACTTGTATATAATATGTATATAGTGTAATAAAGCCACAAGCAATATTGTGGGAGGAGGAATATTGGCGAGTAAAATGCTGAGGGAGGGAGGG